AACTCGTCATCTGAGATTTCTATGTTCTCATTCACATGACCATATAGCGAATTGCGGTAATATTTGATTCTAGCTAAATCTGCTTCTAAACTGTCATCTGTGCTTGCCGGTAGGACATCCCAGCCCGTGACAGGAGAGGTGAGGCCACATATTGTCCTCAGCAACCGGAAAAGGAGAGTTACATCACAGTCTGTTGACTTTCCAAACATCCCTGGGGAAGGGTACAGGCAGTCCCACTGTGGTTTGGTGAGCTTTGCCGCCTTAAGTAGCTTCTTCGTGGCTGGATTCTGAAGTATTGTGGACAGATTACTTGGTGGACATTTGATGTCAAAAGCCTCCCTCATTAGCACAGTACCTCCACTCATCAAAAGCCGAGCCAGACGCTGAAAATTATCTCTACCTTTCGAAGAGCGAAGTACTTCATCTGGGTCCAGAGCGGCAGGCATTTGCAAAGAAGGGAAAACTAAGGCAGTATCAGTGACCGATCCTTCCTTACCTCATGACTGCAACCCAAACTGTGAAAAAGATCAATGGAGTGAACGGTTAATCTCACAAAAGCCAGATGTGGCCAATATAAAACGTCCCTGCTTAAATAAGATGGAGGGATGATTTTAGAGGAGAGGATCAAAACGGATTGCTTTCAATAATACTTAGACATTTTCATTCCACGTTATGTAGGTATGATTTTGCTGGCAAGGAATTGGTGCTCAACAACTTAGAATCGTTTTTCTTAAGCCTGTATAAGAAGAGAAATTCTACAAAAATACCTGAAATACTCTGATCTTAGCCCCTTTTGCAAAGCGACATAAAAAGGGGGTCGAACGAGTGACTTGAAATCTCAAGACCTGCATCCTTATTTAAATCACATTTAAGGATTGTTCACGCAAAAAGTTTGCAATCATTTTGCTTTTTAAGCTTTTCAGTTTATGACAGCGCCTAGAAAAACTTAAATACGCATGACTGTGAAGCCTGATTTCCATTTACTTCTCCTTTAATTTTTTACAAAAATAAATGAAAAAAAGTTTGGGAAGTTCAGCACTAATAAAGCTATATAGGTTCTCAGTTTCACCTGGTCATCAAAAGACTCTATGTAAGGACGTGAATACATTATTCAGCTACAAAAGACTTGAAATACATTTGCTCAAAGAAGGGAAACTAGCCGGGCTAGATTGTGTAGTACATTGCGTGACGCAAGGAAGAAAACACTTAGCAGTCAGGACATAGTTGATAGTCACCCACTTCGTTTACTCCCTATGATTTACAGGAGTAGATACACAAATTTCACATCATCATTCTCTCTTAAGGTAACAATGTATGATGCCTTACTTATCAAAAACAAAGAGTATTATCTATTTGCTGAAGCGGGGTAATGATAATAAAATAACGACACGCTGGCCGCTCTAATCATTCTCTGTTGAGGTATTAATTGATAGACTTAAACCTAAATCTTATCCGAACAGGAACCAAATGAGGCTCAAAATACTAGTAATGTTCTGATTGAGCTGATTTGCTAGTCAGCCTTCTTCAAGTATCGTAAACGACATTTCGTTAAGACTCGAAACTGATGAAAATCTCTCATATTTGTGTTTGGGAGCTGGTTTACACACGTCACTCACTCAAATTGCGCTCATTGGACAGATTTCTCAATCACAAAAGCTATAACTTCAACAGATCTTCAGCAAACCTTATAATGAAGAGTTGGAGATTAGCTCATGCAGAGAAAAAATCAAATAAAGGTTTCTTACCTTCAGAGTTTTTTCTTTCGATTTACATCGAACTTCGGTCTGTGATTCTTTAGCGTTGGCAGACATGCAAATTCCTTCTCTCAACCGTGAAAAGCGGAAGTGAATGGGTTCGTAACGTATCATAGGAAAGCACAACAAAAGGGCAGGGATGTTAGGGCATCAAATTGTCGTCCTTAGGTCAGTTTCCCCTGTTCAAGAATTCTGGACATGCAGCTTTTAACCTTATTTTGTTCAAAGAATGGAACACTTCGGAAAAGCACTTATTTATTTTCCTTTTTTGATTCTATCGTTGCATGCGCAATGTAGTATTGCAGGAGCCTATCACTTGGAGCTTTCAACTGCCCTCTATTTTTGTCACAGCGTTTTCACAGACAAGTCTATTTTTAGTTTGAATTTACCGCGAACTATGGCTCCCCACGAGAGCACATCGACAAATCAAGATTAGCGCCTGATTAATTTCTAACTGTACTCGTTAATATATCGAAAGAAAAACAGCAGGGAGATGCTAGGCTTCTTGCGATAGTTCGAGTGCAGATTCATGTGAAAAGACGCGCCCCAAACTCACGTCTCGATAAAAAGCAAACGATTAATTCATGAAAGTGTCACATGCTGAGTGACTTGGTGTTAACTTACGGGAGGAACCGTTGAGTATTTGAACATGTTATAAGGAATAGCATGGGGAACGAAATATGGTCGATTTACAACGATAAATATTTCGAAATATGAACATTTTACACGTTAAATCAATAGCATTTACTCACATCTTTTGTGTCCGTTGTGGTTTCCGGCGTTCTCTGCCGTTTTAATTGCTTTGCCGTCACTGTTATTCCTGTTATACAACGGTCAAAATCGAAGTGTGCAGCCTTGACTTCGTCTTATAACAGGAATAACAGGGACGCTTGTGGTGTGAGTATTTTGAAAATACCTCGGGAAGCAGCAGTTCCGAGGAAAGTTCTAATGAAGATAAACCCGACTCTTGACTGTTCAGTGATCAAAGCGACAATAGGCACCGTGAATTTTGCCGCATGCAGCACTATTATCGACCGCACTTCACAAAAATAACCAAGATTTGACAAGATCTAAGCCCAATTCGAAAGAGTAGCATTATCTTGCGATCTAGAAAAACGCTCCTCATTTTGTTGCACCCGCTTCTGTTCAATCTACGTCGCAAAATTTTCTTTACGGACTGTGTGGATGAAGATTATTGAGATGAAGACAACTCGCACACAGCTTCCTCACGCAATTTATTGTTTCCGCGCTCTCCATCATCGCTGGCACTTCGCCTCTTCATCGTCTTGAATTGGACTCTTTACATGAAATTTTCTTTAGAGGGGCCAGAATCAGAAGACGGGTGACCTTTGATACACACAAAAATTAAAAAATAAATAAATACAAATAAAAATACAACGATGATCCGCACTCCTGCGAATCTTTTTCACGAGTGTGAAAAATATGCAAAGGACACAGGTGGCCCAAGCTCCAGTTGTGAGATGATCATCTTGCACAATAACAGTTATGGCGGAATTATAAGAGTTTGTATGAGAATATTTACGACCGCTCTAAGGAATAAAACAATACGTCAAATTCTCAGTAAAAATACCTCACCTTACTTCCACAGCGTATCACTTGTTATCTGACCGTTTACTTCGATGAAAAGAACCCATTTTAGCTTTTCTTATGTGCGTTGAAAACCTCGAATTGGAGAACTCGCTAGTGAGGTATTTTTATAGAGAATTTGACGTATTGTTTTATTCCTTAGAGAGGTCGTACACATTCTCATACAAACTCTTATAATTCCGCTATGAACAGCTTACTGTTTGCTACGTGGGATGTTTACTTTTCAGTGTGTTCCGTGGTATGACTGATCAACAAACAAACTTCTTCTGTAACGGTAACTTAATGCTCTTTCATCTTGAATTCAATTTTAAACGAACGCTTTTATCATAGTAGATGTAAGGTTTGAAAATAGGGGAACATCCGTTTGGGTACATCCTCGGATAATCCCTTTTTTTAGCTGAGGCATATTCGATCACGTGATGCGTTTAAACCAACCGCGCGCAAGTGAAAAACTATAAATTGCAATGTATTTAGCGTATCAAAATTCTGACCGAGGAAAGTTCACCTCAGATTATATCTGATCTGAGACTATCACAGCTTCCCTTGCATTTCACGCGAGGAAGAGTGACGTGACGTTCTGTAGAGGTTGTGACAGACCTAAGACTGTCACGTAAGGTATATGGTTGAGCAAAACGACTGTTACATAGTTACCTCGCGATATCTTGAGCTGGAAAACGTTATCAGTATAAGTGTCTCTATAAAAAGCCGATCGTAATTTAGATTCTAACATCTTTTACATGCTTCAATATTCTGATGCCTTTCGACTAATGAAATTCCTATAGGAAAAATAGTTCTACTTTGTGACAGCGATATTCCAAGTCCTTCCTAATATAGGCAAGAGAAACAGGTTCATAAAAATTTTGATCTGCGTTTGGAGAGCTTTTCACATACCGGCCCCTGCTCAGGGCAACTTATAATAATGTTGGAAGAGCTGAATAACGAAATGCTACGTAAAAGGTATGCGGTCAATAACGTGGGCTCAAACGCTCGAAGTCAAAAATTCAGCGAAATTTGCGGAGAAAAAAGGGGCTAGCGATTAAAACAGAGGCATTTGGTTACCGTTGTAGGCATTTTCTTACTTCCAGTGTTTTTAAGGAGAAAGTTAATTAATAAAGAAAAGTGGCAAGTAAACAACGCTAGAAATAGAAAATCGAACCGGCAAACGACTCAAAATCCGTTTTCCGCACCAAAGCCTAGCGCATGCACAAACGCTATTAAACTCTGTCATCCCTTGGTAATTGGCCATATTGAAACTAAATGCGGGCTAAACAAGTTTTAGTGATCAACGGTATCTGCATGGTCAGATCTAGGAAACATGCTGAAAGGATCTCAAAGATTGTGTTTAGCTCGTTCCCTGATTGACGCAAAGTCTGTCTCGTTCTTTTATGAAGTTGTTAAATATCTTCGTCTTCCATTTGGGATTTGTGTTAGGCCTAGTTTAATTAACTAACGATACACTTCTTCTGAGTTTTAGAACTGGTAGTCATTAAAACTGTGGATCCATGTTCCACACCGAAATCGCTCAGTTTGTTGTCACCTTCGAGTTTCGTGTGACCAAAAGTGATCAGCTGCTGCATCCGTGATGGTATCTTCCGGTGATACATCTATTACGGTTCTTATACCATTCTTCATTTTCGCTTAAATATGACTTTCGTTACCATGTGTTCTTCTAATAACCAGTTCAATGATGGAGTCGCTGTTGATGTCGTAGCTTTCCAACGTGCGGCGTTCATCTTCAATTTCTTGAGTGTTAAACATAAGTAGTTGCTGATTTGGCGGTATTCCAATCTCCTCCATTATTTTCATTTTCACATCCTGGATGGTATCTCCAGATACAGCTTCAATTTTGATATTTGTTTTTCCAGATCGTGTCTTCACATGAAGAAGGAGTTCATTTTTTTGTTGTTTCACATCCAGTTGCAGAGATAATTCAATCTGATTGTCGTACTCACTCAAAGGAAGGTGATTGTCTACAACTTCTTTGCCAACAAAGCTGAGGCGTTGTTGATCAACTGGAATCCCTTCTCTATCACAGATTATTTTTCTCACGCTCTCAAAATCATCCCCTGGTGAAACATTTATGAAGATCTTCCTTCCACTAGGAAACTCCACATTGATAAGGATTCTATCAAGTTCGTCCTGGAGTCGCAAATGTACAGAAGATTTGTCGGTGACTTTACATTCATCTAACGTTTGGTGGTCTTTGAGTTCTTGCCTCCTAAAGATCAGATGTAACTGGCTCGGTGGGATACCCAATTTGCTCTGAATTTTCAGTTTCATATTCTTTATCGTATCTGAAGGCTCCACATTTAGAGCAAGGATCTTGCCAGTAAGAGTCTTGACAAAGATGAGTATGCCACCACGAGGATTTAAACTTAAGTATAAGGTCGATTCCGTTGGAACATTGTAGTCACTCAGACAACGGCCATCTTCCAATTGCTTCCCGCCAAAGAGAAGGCGTTGCTGATCCGGTGGGATTCCTTCTACGTCTTCAATTTTTGCTTTCACATCCTTAATGGTGTCTGATGGTTCCACTTCCAAAGCGATCGTCTTCCCAGTCGATAATTTTACAAAGATTTGCATCCCACTACGAAGTCTTAAGAACAAGCAAGAAGTCGCTTCTTTCGGAACACTGTAGTCACTCAGACAACGGCCATCTTCCAATGGCTGCCCTTTAAAGACAAGACGTTGCTGATCCGGTGGGATTCCTTCTTTGCGTTGAATTTTTGTTTTCACATTCTCAATGGTGTCTGACGGTTCCACTTCCAAAGGGATCGTCTTTCCAGTCAATGTTTTTACAAAGATTTGCATGCCACTACCAAGTCTTAAAACCAAGTGAAGAGTCGCTTCTTTCGGAACATTGTAGTCACTCAGACAACGGCCATCTTTCAATTGCTGCCCGCCAAAGATAAGACGTTGGTGATCTGCAGGGATTCCTTCTTTGTCTTGAATTTTTGTTTTCACTTCCTCAATGGAGTCTGACGGTTCCACTTCCAAAGTGGTCGTCTTTCCAGTCAATGTTTTTATAAAGATTTTCATGCTCCTACGACGTCTTGAAACCCAGAGAAGAGTCGCTTCTTTCGGAATATTGTAATCACTCAGACAACGGCTATCTTCCAATTTTCGCCCTTTAAAGATAAGATTTTGCTGATCTGGAGGGGTTCCTTCTATGTCTTGAACTTTTGTTTTCACACTCTCAATGGTGTCTGACGGTTCCACTTCCAAAGTGATCGTCTTTCCAGTCACTGTTTTTATAAATATTTGTATGTCACTATGAAGATTTAGGCGTTGTGGCGCACCATTATCTAAAAACAAATATAAAAAGAAATTACATCGGCGTCGCTCAAGATTAGAGATGATATAGCAGGTAACATCAGCCCTAATAAATTGGCTGAGTGACTGATTATAGTAAGCTTTATCTATCGAAAATATATTTGAGCTGTCTTTAGAAAGTATTTTTGGATCATTTTAGTTACTCCCAGTACGAATCTGTCCATCAGTAAAAGAGAAGGATAGCCGAATTGAGTGCTCGGGTCACATAAATTACCCTTTTTACAGAAATCTATAGAGAACAATTCTTCAAATTGATGACTTTACATTCTTCAGCCGGCAATTCAAAGACATTTGTTAATTCTGTTAAACTATCGGCTCGAAAATATATATATTACTTTGGGCTAACCCAAGATAAAGGAGTTAGATCAGTTTCCTAAAAATGTCAAAAGGTCGTGAGGTCGTCTCTCTCTGCGTCGCCTCCCCCCGTCCTCGATCCCCATCTCTCGATTAAATAGATAGAGCAGAAGTATTTGATGTGATCATTAAATTTATTGAATGATGCCTGGCTGAATTTGACGAAACAAAAAAAAAACATAACATGCAAACCTCTGCTAACGTGTTTTAAAGCATTGACGAAGATGATGTCCTATTCATTCGGTTAAAGACAGCTCTCCGAAACATTTTCTGTGTACTCACCTGAACTCTGCAGAAAAAACTCTCGTGCAACAATGTACTCCTCCCTCTGAATAGTTGTTATCAGTTTCAGCTCAGTCAAGTCAAACTCCTTCAAAACGTCCTTTGTCACAAGATATTTCTGAGCCATGTCATTCAAGTGACCTGTGCAATAGTCATACCACAGGGCATCCAGTATCTCCAATGATCTACATAGTGCTGTCAATATCAAACTTCCTGATTGAGCATCTAGGACCAGAACTTTGCGCACATCTGTTAAAAACCGTAGAAATTCATTTCGTTCCTCAGGTTTGGTTGTGTCAACTGTCTGAAAGTACTTGCGCGCGATGAAATTCATAACTCCTTGAGAACCTGCTTCTTCGACGTTTTCTGTTCTTCCCACGAGTGGTAGACCAGCAGATGCAACAGGATCCACTGCCTTACGCTCGTGCCTTCTTGCCTGGGTATCCTGTGTATCTTCAGGCGTTTCTTCTGACGTTCCAGTAACTACCAGCTCGTCGCCACAAGCTTGGGTACCCTGACTGGCTATAACCGCTGTCTCAGATGTCTCAAGTGGCGGATGAGGGTCTGGGATGGTCTCACAATCAATCCGCATTCGAATTTTAACTGTAAGGGGAAAAAGTGTCAGTAACTGCAGCGACTAACCATTCACAACAGAGGCAAAACAAGCAATTAGTATGAGTGGTCGTCCGGCTATAGTCAAGTAACGAGAAATCATTGACATTTCTCCGCTTCAAAAATATATGAAGCCATTTCTGTCATAAAAAGTGTACAACGTGCACCGTACAGGTGACCCTTGTGCGTTACGTAAGTGCTTATGTAAAAGGAAAAATACTTTACTAGTAATAGATATACAGTAAATATCAACATGCTGACCTCCAGCTGAGGAATTGGGTCGCCTACCCAGTTTCAATCGATCTTTGATGTCTTGGGCCTCATCTCGAAACTCTTGCCTCAAGCGCTGCACTTCTTGGGCTGTAGATTCTACTTTCCCTCCAAGCTTATCTTTGATGTCTTGTCCGAAGCGTTGCACTTCTTGGGCTGTAGACTCTACTTTCCATCCAAGCTCATCTTTGATGTCTTGTCCTAAGCGTTGCACTTCATCTTTAATATCTTGCGCTTCTTCTCGAACCTTTTGTCTTACGTATTGAGCTTCTTTCTCCAAATGCTTCATTGAAGATTCTACCTTTTCCAGGTATTTCTTTACTTCTGTATCATTCTGGTACCAGCGCTGCAATTCCTGCTCATTTCTCTTTTCTTCCTCTGTGAGAGGATCTTTTAAAAATGTATCAATAGCATTCTGCCATTCTTTTGCCTTTGCAGGGCTGATTTGACCCGCAACTCTCACCAGAGCCTCGCTGAGTTCTCTCCAAAGAACTGAAAACTCGTCATCTGAGATTTCCATGTTCTCGTTCACATGACCATATATCGAATTGCGGTAATATTTGATTCTAGCTAAATCTGCTTCTAAACTGTCATCTGTACTTGTCGGTAGCGCATCCCAGCCCGTGACAGGAGGAGCAAGGCCGCATATTGTCCTCAGCAACCGGAAAAGGAGAGTTATATCAAAGTCTGTTGACTTTCCGTACATCCCTGGGGAAGGGTACAGGCAGTCCCTCTGTGGTTTGGTGAGCCTTGCTGCCTTAAGTAGCCTCTTCGTGGCTGGATTCTGAAGTGTTGTGGAAAGATTACTTGGTGGACATTTGATGTCAAATGCCTCCCTCAACAGTACAGTACCGCCACTTATCAAAAGCCGAGCTAGACGCTGATAATTATCTCTCCCTTTCGAAGAACGAAGCACCTCATCTGGGTCCAGAGCGGCAGCCATTTAGAAAGAAGGAAAAACTGAGGCGGTATCAGTTATCGGACCGTCCTTACCTCATGACTGCAACCCAAACTGTGAAATAGATCAACGGAGTGAACGGTAGATCTCACAAAAGACAGATATGGCTAATATAAAACGTACCCGCTTAAATAGAATGGATTGATGATTTAAGAGGAGAGGATCAAAACGGATTTTTTTCAATAGTACTTAGACATTTTCATTCCACGATATGTGGGCATGATTTTTCTGGCAAGGAATCAGTGTTCAACAACTTAGATGCGTTTTTCTTAAGCTTAAATGAGAAGAGAAATTGTAAAAAAATACCCTAAATACTCTGATCTTAACCCCTTTAGCAAAAGCGACATATATAGTGGGTCGAACGAGTAATTTGAAATCTCGGGACCTGCACCCTTATTCAAATCACATTTAAAGATAGTTCGCGCAAAAAGTTTATTATCCTCTACTTTTCAAGCTTTTCAGTTTATGACAACACCTAGGAAAACTAAATACGCAAATGACTGTGAAGCCTAATTTCCATTTACTTTTTACTTATTTTCTTTAACAAAAATAAATAGAAGTTTGGGAAGTTCAGCATTAATACGGCTATATAGGTTCCCAGTTTCACCTGGTTGTCAAAAGAGTCTGTTTAAGGAGGTGAAAACATGATTCAATTACAAAAGACTTTAAAAACATTTGCTCAAAGAAGGGAAACTAGGTGGGCTAGAATGTGTAGTACATTGCGTGACACAAGGAAGAAAACACTTAGCAGTCACAACGTGGTTGATAGTCACCCACTTCATTTACTCCCTATGATTTACAGGAGTAGATACACAAATTTCATATCATCATTCTCTCCTGAGGTGATGCCTTACTTATCAAAACAAAGAGTATCATCTATTCGCTGGAGCGGGGTAATGATAATGAAATAACGACACGCCGGCGGCTCTGATCATTCTCTGAGGGGGAATTAATTGATCGACTTCAACCTAAATTTTAACCGAATAGGAACCAAAGGAGCGAGGCTCAAAATAATAGTAATATTCTGATTGAGCTGGTTTGCTAGTCAGTCATCCTTCAAGTATCGCAAACGACATTTCATAGAGATTCGAAACTAATGAAAATCTCTCAGATTTGCATTTCGAAGCTGGTTCATACACGCCACTCACTTAAATTACGCTCATTGGACAGATTTCTCAATCACAAAAGCAATCACTTCAATAGATCTTCAGCAAACCTTAAAATTAAGAGTTGGGAGATTAGCTCATGCAGAGAAAATGTCAAACAGGCTTCTTACCTTTAGAGTTTTTTCCTTCGATTTACATCAAACTACGGTCTGTGATTCTTTAGCGTTGGCAGATATGCAAATTTCCTCTCTCAACCGTGAAAAGCGGAAGTCAATGGGTTCGCAGCGTATCATAGAGGGGGGGAGGAGGTATTACAAGATGATCAACTGAGTTGATAATATACATCGCCACCATAGAATATAGAAAGCGAAATACTTCGGTAGTACATTTGTTTTCACGCTAGGGAAAACGTCATGTTTTAATAGTGTTTCTTTTTATATTTACGTGTTTTTTAAGATCTCTAGCTATCTAGCTATCAGATATGTCGTAAATGTCTTTTTGAAATACAAAAAAAAACATTTTTGAAAAAGCCTCAATCATTTATATCGCAACGGTCTGTAATATCTTCTTGAGTCTTATACTCCGTGATCATTTTCTCCTGGATGTTTGTCGGCGATGTTACTCCATGTATTTACTTCTGGAATATCGTCGTCATCATTGCCTCCTGAGATGTCCCTCTATGCAATAAATCTCTTTATAAACTCTCCTGCGCCTGCTATGATTGTATCAGGGTTATCTCCTGCAGTTAACACCTTGGGATCATTCCCATCTTTCTTAATCTGATCGGGTAATGCTTTTATTGGAATGTTACCTTAGTCAATGTAATATCCTTCAATATTTTTCTCTGGTCTTTTCACTCTTACAATTCCTTCGTCTAGAATGGCGTCCTCTGACCCTTATCCTGCGAGAAATAGTCCTCTAAACTGTTATCCTTTGAACCTACATTCCTTACGTCTCTATTAGAATGCTCTGAACAGTTGTCTTCTACAATTATCTCTTCCGAAATATCCTTCTCTGAGCTGAGTTCCTCTGAATGGTAATCATCTCGATTGGTGACCTCTGAACTCACTTATTTATTACGCCCACACACACGTGCATAAACAGAAACAAACAACTATAATTCAGTTGGAATATATGAAAGGTGGCGGTATACCATGTAAGGCGATTGGTAAGCAAACTGAACCTTTCGCTAGCGTTCCTGGTGCAATATTCTGGAGCTTTTCACAGGTTGTCGATTCTTGGCAGATTCCCATACTTCTGCTTCTTTTCATGCCACGTGGAACATGATCTGAAAGGAAATATGAAAAAAATTAAATTATATCGACCTAATTCAAGATTAGCGCTGTAATCTATTCCTACGTCTTAACCCAAATAAATGAACTGAGTGATTCATCACAGTAAGTCTCATCAATCTCAGTTACATTCCTTTCTTTCTAAAGTGTTTTTTATTTGTTTTAGTTACTCCTTGTACGAACTTATCCATCAGTATGAGGGTAATGTAACCCAATTAAGAGGAAACAAAAATATCCTTCTCTCTCGGGTCTACAAAATATATTTCTCAGACGGATCACCATATATATATATATATATCTCTGCTGGTTACTGAAAGAAATTATTTTTTAATTTAAAATCACATCGAGACCATATAGGTTTGTCAATACTCTTTATCTATCGACCTGTCAGTATATTTACTAGAGCCACCATTAGATGAAGGAATTCGATCAGTTGCCTAGAACTGTGGCCCCCAGGCCCCCTCCAACTGCCTCAATCATCATCCCTCGACCAAATTAAGACAGCACATTCACAAGTATTAGCTCTGAACACTAAATGTCCTAAATAATACCCATCTGAATCTGGTAAAACAACAAATTTAAATAATTTATTTAACTCCTCTGGTTTAGTTGGGTCAACGGCCTTAAATGTAAACCATCTGAGTGGTAGAAAGAAGTGAAAGAGCTTAGTGGGCGCTCAGTTGCCTCCACGGCGCTACAACATCTGCATGAGGGTATTGACCAAATCGGCCTGGCTAACATCATCAATGAGGCTTTCTTATCGCCAATGCACTGCTTCACACCGCTTCCTGCTGCTTTTTTGTGCACTACTTTCAGTAACTACTTCGAAAACTCCCTTGTTGTGTCGGTTGAGTCAGTCCGCAAGAAACTATCAAAGCCAACGGTTCAGACAACATCCCAGGATGGTTGTTAAAGGAACACGCAGACATTTTAGCTGGTCCGGTATCTAACATCTTGAACTCCTCGTCCCATGAAGGACGCTTGCCATCGTCATGGAAGCACGCATATGTAGTCCCTGTGCTAAAGCAAAAGCCTGTCCGTGAAGTAAACAAGCACTTACGCCCTATTTCACTAACCCCCATTTTGTCAAAGATGTCTGAAGCTTATGTGGTTGACACTTATGTCAAACCTGCTGTGCTGGAGAGAATTTATCCTCAACAATTTGGGGCCGTATTAAATCTTCTACTACGCATGCGCTTATCAGTATGTTGCACTCCTGGTTGGAATCGACTGACGGAAATGGGGCTACTACGAGAGCCGTACTGTTTGACTTTCGCAAAGCCTTTGACTTAATTGATCATCATGTTCTAGCCCAAAAGCTCTCCTCGTATGACATTCCGGAATCGATCATGTGCTGGATCTTGGATTTCCTAACGAATAGAAGGCAAAGGGTGAAATTGAGTTGTGGTTGTGTATCGGAATGGCGTGCTGTACCAGCAGGAGTTCCTCAGGGGACTAAACTCGGCCCCCGGTCATTTCTAATAATGATTAATGACCTGAGAGTGGCGAATACGAACATCTGGATGTATGTGGATGACACCACCCTCGCTGAGTGTGTGGAAAAGAACGGAACCAGCTCGATGCAGTCGCGCGTTGATGAATTTGTTACAGAGTCTCGTGCTGATGGTTTCCAGTTTTGTGAGCTTCGCTATTTTAAGTTTATTCTTCATGGCTGGATTGTTAAAAGCCGCTCTATAGGAAGAAAATTGCTTTTTCCACTGGTTGTAGGTAAAACTCCCTCGATTGGTACCCGTACCAGTTGCCATTTCTCAGCTAAGAGCTCGCACGGATTAACAATTAAACCCGAAAATTCACATGCAGCTACAAAGAACACGACGTTGTTAGAAACGAACAGGGTTTTTTTCTCTTCGGGTGTTTTTCACAGACAAGTTTTTGGCCGATTCTTTCTGAATGGTGTATTCTATCAAATAGCGGCCATATTCAGAGTTGCTTGCCGGTAAATATTAGTCTTCCCCGCTATGAATTAGTATACATGGAAATTATGACACCGACCGCGTTTTGAGAGGCGGCGTCAATAGTCGATTTTTGGCAATTTTGGAGACCATTTTCAAATGAACAAGTTACACTCGGGAGTCGAAAGAGGAGAGTGGTAAATGTTTATGGACACTTTTTAATTCCGGTTATAAAAATAAAGTTTCCTACAGCTATGCAGTTTTCTCCTGGTCCCTAGAATGAGGACAAATAATACTTACATAACAACTCATTAGGAATATCGAATGGCGGGAGTCATGACGCCAGAGGCGTAAGAGCATGTTCAGTCGTTTTTCGTCAGCACGAACACAGCAGCAAAATGAGTGCACATGCATTGAGCGTCTAGGCTATGATTCTTCTGCAAACATAGGCTGATGCGTAGCCATGTTACGGCTGCTCAACTTCAGCCATTAAATGCGCACCTGTAACCACAATACGTTTTTGTTGAGAGAGATATGTGACGAAGGAGGGTCGACAGAAACTTTCCTGGAGAAGGCAACCTTTTTTGTTTTGGTTTGGGCTTATCCCCACGAAATAAGAACAAACAATAGAAATTTTAAAAATGCCGCCATTTTACCTCGGTAGTGTTACTATGGAAGTATTGTCGTTCCCATTCCTTTGCACGCGTAACTTTCTCGCGAGTTACAAGCATGCGCCTTCGTTTTGCCGCTGTATCGTCAGCACAAACATATTCTAGGTATGATAATACTAGTACCCAATCCTTGTGCTTGGAATCAAACCCCATAGTTATCATAACAAAGTTGCATGTTTTAGGCTTAACCAAGGGTCAAAGAGAGCTTCCACCAATTGAAGTTGCTCTTACTTTTTATTTTTGGTTTTTATTCCAAGACGGAACGGTCTAAGTGTCCTGTCTCAAACCCACATAGTTTCTACAGCAAAAAAGCAAATGGAAGCAAATTCTACTAAATAGAATACTATTGCATCACACTCACCCTTCCCCCCCTTCCCCTCCCTCCCCCCCACCCCTCTAACAGCATTTCTTCAAATTTCCTAATAGTATGTTGGAATTCATTTACACTCCTTGGACACAAAGAGACAGGATAGGAGTGAAATGTCTTCTTCATAATTTTTTTAGCATCACCCCGGCCACGAATTGACCCTGGACTTGAAATTGAAAATAAAAGATGTGTTTTGTTGGCAAAACAATTTGAAAATTAATCCGAAACTAAGAAAAGAAAATATAAAGTTAACCAATTTTAACTATCAGCAAAGGTAATTGTTAACTCTTATGAGCAGTACATTATTCTCTTGGGTGGCAAACATTAATATGAACAGTGCCCTAAATTGAGATTATGTGCATAGACATTTCTGCCACAGAGATCCAAGTTTAGGGTACATTCTTTCGAAATATTGTAGTAACTCAGAGAGAAGCCACTTTTGAGTGGTTTCCCGGCAAAGAGAAGACGTTGCTGGTCCGGCGGGATTACTTCATGCTCTAGGATTTTAATTTTCACATATGCTATGGTACTTAAAGGTTTCACGCACAAAGAAATCGTATTTCCAGTCAATGTTTTAACATAGATTTGCATGCTATCATGGACTGATGACCTCGCGACAGATGCAGGAGTCTTACGACCAGAGCGGTCCACCATCATTTCCCCGGCGATAAGGGAACCCTCCGAGAATGCTTCTTTGTTTCGCTTAGTTTCAGATTCAACATGTGGGACTGTTCCTTCAGTCGCTGAGAGAGGACTTTGCTCTATTGTCAAATCTGAGTCAAGTCCTTCATTTCTGTTCTTGGTCGTGCCGGGTGGATCATGGACTGAAATGAAATGCAACGGATACAATTTAAACTTGACTACGGGTCGTGCAACGAAGACCTTCTCTTTAATTAGGAATGTGTATGTTAAGATCAGTTTCCTATAAAATGTTAAAAGGTCGCCGTAAGGTCTTCTCTGCGTCACCTCCATTCATCGTCGATCCCCATCTTTCGATTAAATAGAGAGAGCACAGGTATCAGATCTGGCCATTAAATTTTTTGAATCATACCCTCTGAATCTGGTGAAACAAATTTGTGAACATGTTTGAGGAGGCATGCAAAAAACATAACGAGCAAACCTATGCTCACATGTTTTAAAGCATAGACGAAGACGATACTCTATTGACTCGATTAAAGACAACCTTCCGAAAAACTTTGTATGTGCTCACCTGGAGCCTGCAGGAAAAAATCTCGTGCAGCCATGTACTCCTCCACCTGAATTGTTGTTTTCAATTTCAGCTCAATCAGGTCAAACTCCTTCAGAACGTCCTTTGTCACAAGATATTTCTGTGCCATGTCATTCAGGTGACCTGTGCAATAGTCACACCAGAGGGCATCCAGTATCTCCAGTGAAGTACACAGTACTGTTACTATCAAACTTCCTGACTTGGGATCCAGGACAAGAACTTTGCGCACATCTTCTAGATACCATAGAAACTCATTTCGTTCCTCAGGTTGGGTTGTGTCAACTGTCTGAAAGTACCTGTGTGCGATGTAATTCAAAACTCCTTGTGCGTTGCGTGCTGCATCGGTTCCAACACCTGCTTCTTCGACGCTTTCTGTTCTTCCCGCGAGTGGTAGACCAGCAGATGCAACAGGTTCCACTGCCTCGCGCGTACCACTAGTAACTACCATCTCATGGCTTCCTCCCTGGGTATCTTGTGTGTCTTGAGGCGTTCTTCCTGATGTTCCAGTAATTACCAGCTCGTCGCCACAAGCTTGGGTACCCTGACCGGTTATAACCACTGTCTCTGATGTCTCAAGTCGCGAATGAGGGTTTGGGTTAGTCGCACAACAAATCTGCACTCGAATTTTAACTGTAAGGGGAAAAAGTATCATTATTTGCAGCGACTAGCCACTTACAACAAAGGCAAAGCAGGCTATTAACATGAGTGGTCGTCCGGCTAAAGTCAAGTAACTATATATTAACTAATTGAAATTTTTTTTATGCTTCAAAAATATACCAGGCCATTTCTGTCAAAATAAGAGCACAATGTGCACCGTACAGGTAACCCTGATACGTTGCGTAAGTGTCTATGTTAGAGGAAAATACCTTACTAATAACAGATATACAGAATAAATCAACAAGCTGACCTCCAGCTGAGGAATTGGGTCGGCCATCTATGTCTAATCGATCTTTGATGTCTTTGACGTCTTGCCTCAAGTGCTGCACTTGTTGGGCTGCAGATTCTACTTTCCCTCCAAGCTCATCTTTAATATCTTGGGCTTTTTCTTGAACCTCTTGTCTTAAGGATCGAGCTTCTTTCTCCAAATGCTTCATTGAAGATTCAACCTTTTCAAGGTATTTCTTTACTTCTGTATCATTCTGGTACCAGCGCTGCAATTCCTGCTCGTGCCTCTTGTCTTCCTCTGTAAGGGGATCTTTTAAAAATTTATCAATAGCATTCTTCCATTCTTTTGACTTCGCAGGGCTGATTTGACCCGCAATTCTCACCAGAGCCTCGCTGATTTCTCTCCAAAGACGTGACAACTCATTACCTGCTAATTCCATGTTCTCGTTCACATGGCCGTGTATCGAATTGCGGTAATACTTAATTCTCGCTAAATCAGCTCCAAAGCTGTGGTCTGTATTTAAAGGAAAACAATCCCAGCCCATGACAGGAGGGGTGAGGCCGCATATTGTCCTCAGCAACCGGAAAAGGAGAGTTATATCAAAGTCTGTTGACTTTCCATACGTCCCTGCAGAAGGGTATAGGCAGTCCCACTGTGGTTTGGTGAGCTTTGCTGCCTTAAGGAGCTTTTCTGTGGCTGGATTCTGAAGTGTTGCGGGTAGATTACTTGGTGGACATTTAACGTCAAAAACCTCCCTCAATAGCACAGTACCTCCACTTATTAAAAGCCGAGCCAAACGTTGAAAATTATCTCTCCCTTTCGAAGAACGAAACACCTCATCTGGGTCCGGAGCGGCTGCCATTTTTAAAGAAGGAAAAACTGAGGCAGGATCAGTTACCAGACCTTCCTTACCTCATGACTGCAACCCAAACTGTGAAAAAGATCAATGGAATGAATGATTAATCTCGCAGAAGACAGATATGGCTAATATAAATCGTCCCTGCATAAATAGGTTAGATGGATGATTTAAGAGGAGAGGATCAAAACGGATTGCTTTCAATAATACTTAGACATTTTCATTCCACATTATGTGTGTATGATTTTGCTGGCACGGAATTGGTATTCAACAACTCACATGCGCTTTTCTGAAGCCTATCTAAGAAGAGAAATTATACAAAAATACCTGAAATACTCTGATCTTAGCCCCTTTAACAAAAGCGACATATATTTATAGCGGGTCGAACAAATGACTTGAAATCTCCAGACCTTCGTCCTTATTTAAATCAAATTTAAGGATAGTTCGCACAAAAAGTTTATAATCCTTTTACTTTTCAAGCTTTTCAGTTTACGGCAGCGCTGATGAAAACTTAAAAACGCAAATGACTCAGAAGCCTGATGTCCGTTTACTTTTTATCTATTTTTTTATACCATAAATAAATTAAAGATGAGAAAGTTTAGCACTAATACAGCTATTTAGGTTCTGAGTTTCACCTGGTTATCAAAAGACTCTATTTAAGGACTTGAATACATTGTTCAGTCACAAGAGACTTGAAATACGTTTGCTCAAAGAAGGAAAACTTCTTAGACACTTAGCAGTCACGATCGACACGGTTGATCGCCACCCACTTCATTTACTCTCTATGATTTACGGGAGTAGATACACAAATTTCATCATTCTCTCCTGAGGTAATTACGTATGGTGCATCACTTATCAAAAACAATTTTTTTATACTTGCTGGAGCAGGGTAATGATAACAAGATAAGGACACGCTGGCTGCTCTGATCATTATCTGTAAAGGAATTAATTGATCGACTTCAACCGAACAGGAACTGAACGAGGCTTAAAATACTAGTAATATTCTGATTGAGCTGGTTTGCCAGTAAATCATCCTTCAAGTATCGCAAACGACATTTCTTAGAGATTCCAAACTAATGAAAATCTCTGAGATTTCCTATGGGAGCTGGTTCAAATACGTCACTCACTTGAATTGCGCTCACTTGACTGATTTCTCAATCACAAAAGCTATAACTTCAACAGATCTTCAGTCAAACTTTAAATGAAGAGTGGGAGAGTAGCTCATGCAGAAAAATGTCACATTAAGCTTCTTACCTTTAGAGTTTTTTCCTTTCGAGCTACATCGAACTTTAACGTTGTCAGTCTGCAAATTTGTTTTCAGACCCGTGAGAAGCGGAAGTGAATGGGTTCGCAATGTAACATGGAAAAGCCCAACAAAAAAATAACATATGGACAGGGATGGTAGGGTATCGAATTGTCTTCCTTAGGTCAGTTTATCCTTTTCAAGACTTCTGGACATGCAATTGCTACTCTTATTTTGTTCAAAGAATGGAGCCCTTAAGAAAAACACTTATTTATTTTCCTTTTTTGATTCTATCGTCACATGCGCGATGTAGTATCGTTAATGGTTTATTTCTGGCTTTCGATCACGGAAAATCACGAGAATCATTCCAGACACATTCTTGTACAAGCCATTGACAATAAAACGAATTGAATCAATAAAAACAGGATAAGGCCGTGATCTATTAGAATGCTCTGAACTTCCACAATGATCTCTTCCGGAATATCTTCCTCTGAGCCGAGTTCCTCTGAAAGGTAATCGTCTCGATTGGTGACCTTGTACGAACTTATCCATCAGTATGAGGGTAGTGGGACCCAATTCAGAAGTCACAAAAATATCCTTCTCTCTCAGGTCTACAAAACATATTTCTCAGACGGATGACCATATATATCTCTGCTGGTTACTCAAAGAAATTAGCTTTTAATTTAAAATCACATCGAGACCATAATACTCTTACCTATGGAACTGTCAGTATATTTACTATTTCAAGCCAGCATTGGCTAAATCTGTCGCTTCAGGGCCACCTCCAACTGCCTCAATCACCATTCTCGACCAAACTAAGACAGCACTTTCACAAGTATCAGCTCTGAACATTAAATATCCTAAATAATACACGCGTATAGGCGCATTCCACCCGCCCCATATAGGAAACAATAGGCTGCACGATCTTACAATGAGGTCTTCCATGCCCCGGGCTGGGTGATTTCTTAACTTCAAAAACAGCCGAAGTAGTACCATGCTTTCTTTCCTCTCTCTCTCTCTCTCTCTTTTTCAAAGCAGTATCATCAAATTCACGCTCATAAATTGTACTTCATAGATTGCCTGAATCGCTGGCGTCTTCCCTTCAGCCACACTTCGTGGCTCCTCTAATATATGAACAGTGATTTCTTGTAGGTCTTCCACGGATTTATTTACTTTCACATCCTGTTTATACCAGTCGAACAGTTCCTGTACCTATCTTTCATCCTCTGATGTGAGGAGATCGTCCAGGAACTTATCAATAACTGCCTGCCAGTCATGCCTCTTTGAAGGGTGGATTTTGCCTGCAGTTGTTACAAGAGCTTCGCTGATTTCACGCCACAAAAATAAGAACTGGAAGTCATCTGCTATCTATATATCAGACTTCACATGATCATACACTACTTCCAAACTGTGATCTGTATTCAACGGTTGAGTATCCCACCCTGTGACGGGAGGGATGAGGCTGCAAATCGTCCTCAGAAATCAGAAGGGGAGAGTGACATCAAAATCTTTTGATTTGCCGTACACCCCTGGGGAGGAGTCTAGACAGTCCCGCTGTGGTTTTGCTGCTTTGAGCAGCTTTTTTATAGCTTGATTTTTCAATATTGTTGGAAGAGAAACTGATGGACACCTACTGTCAAAAGTTCGGCTCCTCCACTTATTAACAGTCAAGAAACACGGTGGAAATTATTTCTACTATTCGTCAAACGGGGTATTTCATTTGGTTTTGGAGCAACCGCCATTTTAAAAGAACGAGTGAATAACCGTCAGTTTCACAGACGATGATTCAAATTTCAGTGAGATTTCTGCATCGAAAGAGACGTTGAATTCGTAAGCACTGTCTCTGAGCAAATTAAGAAACGGTTAGAACTGTTAACAGAATCTTGGTCCATACATACAAAGTCCCCTCAAGGAGAAGATTGACTGGGTAGTAAAGGAAAGGGCGTGGCACTATATACATTGACCATGTTTGTTTCATCACTGAATACGTGACAGCATAAGATCATCCATGGTATTTAATTAACTGCCTTAGTACCCTTACACCCCAACATCAGTAGGCATATTCTCCATACTATTTCCTGTACATTTCCTAAGGTGTTGATGAGGTGAATTTTTTTCCTTTATTCTCGTGACCTTCATCACGATGTGTTTAAGGGGTGATACAGCAAGGAGAAATTAGATGCTTGTCACTTTTAGGGAAAGAAAAGGTTAACACGAACTGCATCGTTACTTCTGTATACACTTGGAAAGGTTGGACACTGAGGGTTCGTCTAATTGCTATTAATAATTCGCATGTAGTAGTAAGGATAGAGATTTTCCAATGACCCTCTCCCCGTGCAATGCAACGCTCAGATGAAGCAGTTACAAGGTTATTAACGTATCACAGAAGGGAAAAAATGTTACTTTTTTTCAATTTCCTGAAAATTATTATTTTATTCCTGCTAAATAAACACAAAGATCTAAAATTTTCCAAAATTTTTATTTTGGTATCTTTTTCACTTTTGGAGATATAAAGCAAAACGTGATTTGAGAGCAGAAGGGAAGGTGCGAGATTGATGACTTTTCACGTCAACTTCTTCTCGTCACCTAGTTAACAAATACAAAATTAATGATTTACGATCGCGCTGTGCAGCGATTTTTTGTAATTTTGTAAAAACGACGCATTTTGTAATAACCTACGCATTTTGTAATAACCTACGCATTTTGTGACATCTGTAGCGTTTAGTAACGAAGGCGATCTCTTAATAAAGGCTGAGGCAATTTTGTAATAATCGTTGGTCAACGCAATTTGGCACAGATATATTGACACATGAACAGTTTACCATCATCAGTAGTTGAACTTGACTCGATGAATACATTTAAGAAAGCTCTAAAATCAACATTGTTTAACCACGCCTATAAGTACAAAATTAACTTATTCTATATATTATACATCATTTAATTATTCATCGTTTCAACAGAATTTTTATCTTAGATATGTCTTCTTTACTTCAATTTTATATTTATATTGATACATGCTTGTATATAAAATGTTCCAGTGTGTATAATTATGTATATTGCATAGTATTATGCAATATAGTATTTATGTCTGGGGTATGGTTTACAATGAGGATTAAGTTCCTCCCTTCTATAACTTTTTTTTTAATAATAATATATTATATATGCTATTATTTAAATAAAGTTGTTTTGAAAAAAGTTGTTGTAATCTCAACTTTGCCATAAAATCTGTTCAAAAGTAATACAACAATTATCGTTCAATGCAGATTTTTTTCCTCCTGAGATTTCGACTAGATCTCGGATATATCTCCGAAGAAATGCTGGGAACCAATGGGGTCCATTTCTCTACGATCAAAAATTCTTTGTTGTTCTTTGTAAATTTTTTCTTCTTATATGTACAGTTGTGGGACGGTTTGTTGAAGTAGGAACGGCATTTGTCCTTAGCATTTGAAAGGTGTAACCTCCCCTCCCCCACTGAAAAAAAAATTCACGAATACAAACTTTGATCAGCAATAAGCATAAATACATCAATTAAAGTTTCATTTTTTCTCATAATTTGAAAGCAGTCTCAAGTTGGTGTCCTCAGAGATCTTTCTGGATAGGCTCTCAAGAGCAATTTGCATTGGTGTGGCTAAAGCACAAAGTTTATATGAATTTCGATGCTCGCCAAAGATAATGCCAAAAGCTTCAAGATTTCTAACTTCATTTCTTTCAAAGAGTACTGCGCCAGAATCTCCTTCAGTTGCAAACACTTTTGCATAACCAT